GACCCAGGTATTCCCCTTGGAGATATCTTCTCCTAAGAGTTACAGACTTCATACCACAGTGATGAAGCAACAGCTCCCGTCCCTAGGTAGAGAAAAGACAGGATGGGGGCCTCCTTGAGCTTTGTTAGAGGTTAATGGAGACTCACTAAGGGCAGTTAGGGCAGTCTCTGCCTCTGCAGATTAGGCTCAAGCATTTAGAAAGACAAAGACAAATTAAGCTCAGGAAGGACCCACATAGCATGAAAACATGAACTCCTTTACCTCATCCTTAAACTTAAACATCCTTAAACTACTACTTATTGCTAACCACCCCGCCCCCATGGTGCAGGCCACCACCAAACAACAGGAAAGGTCACGTGACCGGAAGAACCCCAAGGGGAGGACAAAAAGCAACCATGGAGACAATCAGATTCCAGGAGCCTGCACAGGGAGAAGCCCAGTGAAAACAGTAGGAGTGGCAGAGAAAACCCATGGGTATTTCACTTCCGAGTGCTCCATACTCATCCAGAGCAGCTGTCTACCATCTCTGTCTCTTCCTTCTTTTTCTCCACCTTCAAATAACTTGTCTTCTCTTAGTTTAAACTTGGCTTGTTTAACGCTTTACTGGTGTGGGGTTTATGACCCCTGAGAACATATGCTCCAGGAGAGTGGTGGCATGGTGTGGCGTGGCATGGTATACACCCCTCCCCAGACACTGCAGTGATTCATCCACAGTCATGTTCATAGCAGCACAACTCATCATAGCTAAATCTTAGAGACGGCCTCTGTACCCATCAAGAGATACATGGGCAAAGGAAATGTTGTTTATACACAATGGAATACTACTCTCCCATAACGAATAACAAACCTGAGTCACTTTTAGGAAAACAGATACACCTTGGGATCATAATTCTAAGTGAAATACACCAGACACACAAGATTAAATAGTGCATAAATTCTCTTATATGAAAGCCCAAAGTATACATAATGTAAAAGATAATATGAAATAGGAAGCTGGATCTTTTACAAATGGAAATGTGATCTAGAGATTAAGGGAAGGGGTAAGGCAGTGAAGGGAAGGGGAAGTAAAGAAAATAATAAAAACAAATCTTTAAAATGTACCATAGAGTCTACAGCCAGAATTGGATGAGAATAAAAGTAGACAAATACACTTGGGAGGCTGAGGCAGGAGGATCACTGTAAGTTCAGGCCAGCCTGGGTTCCATAGTGAGTTCAAAACCTGCCTGAACTACACAGCAAGACCTTGTCTCAAAAAGAAAAAAGTAGATGAATGGAATAATGGAATATAATGAAGAGCACAGAAACAGGCCCAACACATACAACAAACTAATATTCAACAGAGATGCAAAGGCAAAAAGGATAGTCATTTTAACAAGTGACAATGGAACAAATGATCGTGTAGATGCAAAAAATACCTGTTAGCTATATATACATCACTTACAAAAATTAAGCAGATCCTAGACCTAAACATAAAACCTAAACATTCTACAGGAAAAGTCAGGAGAAAGACTTGTGATCTTATGTGAAGCCAACGAGGATCCAATACCAAAAGCGTGATCTTTCCAAACAGATGACAAAAAGCACTTCAAATTTAAATTTTGTTCCTTGCCAGGCATGGTGGCGCACGCCTGTAATCCCAGCATTCAGGAGGCTGAGGCAAGAGGATCGCTGTGAGTTCGAGGCCAGCCTGGGCTATAGAGTGAGATCAAGGCCAGCCTGAACTGCAGTGTAAGACGTTGTCTCAAAAAGACAAAAATAAAATAAAATCTATTTCTCAACTGTTAAGAAACTTAGCAGATAAGCCTCATACTGGAAGAAAATATACATAAAACATGTATCTGTCAAAAACTTGTATCTAGGATACATTAAAAACTATGATTACTCAGGAAGAGAGTAAACTCATTATTTTAATGGGCAAAATAGTTGCACGGGGATATATATACACACATATATATATATATATATATATATATATATATATATGTGAGAAAGGTAATCAAAAATAGTAGTCATTAAGAAAATACAAAGTAAAACCACAATAAAATATATATCCACTAGGTGGCTAATGTTTAAAACACTGACTATATCAAGGATTGAAGGAATGTGAAAAAGGCACAGCATGCCTGTAGTCCCAGTACTTGGGAGGCTGAGGCAGGAGTAACTCCATGAGTTTGAGGCCAGCCTGGGGTGTACACTGACTACAGACCAGCCTGACCTGGCAAGATCCTACCTCAAAACAAAAAATATTTTTTTAAAAAACTAGAATATTAAAACATTGTGAGTGGTATAGTCACACTGGAAAATAATTTGACAATTTCTTTAAAAGTTAACAAATACCTATCACATGACCCAGCCACCCCAGTACCATTAGTCACTAGAACTGAGAACTTGTTCACACAAAAACTTGTACCCAAATGGTGATAATAGCTTTCTGGGTAATCACTAACCATGAAAACAACCCAAACATCCTAAATTTGGGTATATATATAAACTGGAAAATTGTCCAAGAATAAAAGGTAAACTAATGATATGCAAAAAACTATTAATATCAACATTATTATACTAAGTGAAAAAACAAAACAAAAAAGTACATCCTATGATTTTATTTATAAAGTTACATAGATGATAGGTGGATGGATGGATAGATAGATAGATGACAGAGAGACAGATCTATTGATCATTGGTTCCTTCAGTGGTGGAAGGAAGGGTAATAAGGAAGGGATTATAAAGCATCAGGAAGAAACATTTAGGACTGATTGATAAGGTCCTTATCTTAATTGCAGTGATGATTTCAAGGTTAAATATATCTCTGAAAACTAATCAAATTGTATACTCTAAAAATGAAGCCTATAATCTACCAAAGTATACCTCAGTAAACCTATAGTTTGAAAGACCAATTATACAAATATAATTTTTTTACAAATATAATTTTTAAGAGAAGGAGTCCATTAGCTATAGTCTATTCCAAGTATCCTACCATTCTAATTTTACAGATCTTTAGGCTAAATGCAGTTGCTTGTTGCGTAAATGGGGACAGTTTTCGATTTTGTTACACCAACTACCAGCTGTGCCAAGTTTTATATTAAAGGAATATCAGGCAAACTACGTGGCTGTATTAGCTCTGCAGAAAAAGCTAAGATCCTTGCTTAGACACTGAATACATCCTTTGCTCCAAATTGCAAACGCCTAATTTTAAGGGTACAATCCAAATTATCTCCGCAAAATCAATACTAACATTGAAATACGCAATTTTCTCAACTTTCAAAACTATAAAACTGAAATATTTATTCTTTATCATACAGTAACAGCTATATCAACATTATCATAATCTTGATGTGCTGTCCAGCCTTTTTTACTTAGGAGCTCCCTTTTCGACTATCGCATTTACAGCCTCTGTGTTTTAAAGTCAATTATTCCCAAATGATTTATTGTTTTAGTTGGCTTCTCTTTTGATAATAACTCTTGAATTTATAAAAACAAAACCAACATAAACCACAAAGTACAGCCCCACCCCCAAATGACTGGTTCTTTCCTCTTCATTATGTGACCAAAGGCTGAGGTCTCTACATAATTCTCTTCTATTAAAAAATATTAAAACTAGGTAGTAGAAATTATATCTTGATGAATTATGAGCTGTCATTTCGTTCACCTTGTTTTATTTTCTTCTTACTCTCTTCAGAGTTTCTTGTTTCTGTGTATGTCTTATAACACAAAATGCCCGGTCTATGAGTCTCCACTTAAACAGTAAAAGGAAAGCTTCTTTGTTAGGAATGTTTGATAGATCAAATACAATCAAGAAATATAAGTATTCATAAGAGCCACTAATACATTATACTACTTTAACAAAAACACCCAATATGTAAATACCTCTAATATCTTATACTAAATTTTTATTTTATTTTTAAACTTGGTGTAGAAGAGAAGGACAAGGAAGAAGAAAATAAAGAATATGATAAAGTCGCAACACAGAATGATCACAAAACCTAGGGCCTGGAAAAAGTAAGCACTCAATATATATTCAATGAACTAATGAATGAATAAACAAGCTCGATTTCACAATCATTTAATGTATCTCCTCTTTAGCTGATTAACATACGGCTTCTTACTGGCTACTGAGCAGCAAAAAGCAGAGACTGGAAATCCTCCAAATGTCTAACAAATGTACCACGGTCAATTAAGCAAATGTTAGTAAAGGTAAGCAACACAGATAACTTATACAACATAAAGGTATGAGTTCACCATCATACTGTGTAATTAAAAATAAAACAAAGGTGGGCACAGTGGCACATGCCTGCACTCCCACCAGCTCATGAGGCTGAGGCAGAAAGATTACAAGTTGGAGGCCAGCCTCAGCAACTTAGTGAAGCCCTGTCTCAAAATTTAAAAAGAAAAATAAAAGTGGGAGACATAGCTCAGTACAAAGGCCTCGGTTCAACAGCAGTACTATTATTAAAAACATGAATCAGAAAGTGAGTCTGTTGCTTCAGGAAATACCGTGAGAAGTGCCTTCATTTTTAACTTTAAAAACTCTCCGTGTCCTAACTAGAGAGCAACTCACATGAATCTAGGGATTGCCTAAACTACGAAATAAACCAACTGATGATATTTTCATGTTTATGTAATACCTAAGTACGCAAGGTAAAATATATTTAGCTTTGCAAATATATTTTGGGTATGTTTAGCAAATTACTACTAAGAAGTAAAAGTTATAATTAATTTCTCCAGTTCCATAAACTCCTATTTTTATACGAGTACCACGCTCTGTGCCACTGGAGCTCCCATAAACTGGTATTTTTGAAGTGCTTAAAAAGATTTAAAACATTTCTTCTCCTAAACGATGTAAGCTTTCCTCTGGAATTATGTTAATAGTATAGCCTTAGCAAGTCATTTTTCTATTCCTAGTAGATAATATTTTGCTCAGCTGTCTAAATTATTGTGAGTTCTGATTTATAGTGAGGCACAACAAATACGCTGGAACCCAAAGATTCGGAGTCACTCACCTCGGAGTTTAAAATATTTCACATGGTTTGCCACAGCCTCTGTAACCGTTTCATTCGGGCAGACTTTTACCCCATGAGGAAACAGCACGGATCGCCGCCTTCTCAGTAACGAACGTTTCTCAGCTTCCCTGGGGTCCAAAAGCGGTTTCCTTTTAGCAGGCAGAGCGGAGGCTGTCGATTCTTGGGGCGATAGAAAAGAAACCGCACGCTTTGGTTCTCGGGCCTCTTCTAAAGACAGGTGGCTCTGCACTACAGAGGGAAAGCACAACCAAGCTTGTGATGAGGAGGGAAGGAAGATACAAAAGGGAGCAGAGAAAAACAGTCGCTTGTGCCACATTTGGGTTTGTCAAGTCCATGCCTATCTGGAGGGAAAAGGAGTCAATCTTTCGCCCATCTAATTCCCCACTCCTTTAATTCAAGATTTTTTTCATCAAGGCCAAGAATACATCCAATTTCAACACAGGAAATAAGGAAAAAGATCTGGACCAGAACTTACTAATGAAGAGGAAAAACCCAAATGACTAGAGATATCTTAAAACAACGCAAAAACACGTTCTCACAGATTAATAGAGGAGTATTTACTCCATTTCTTACAGTAATCACATCAATAATACTGTTTTAAGAAATATACTAGAGTTGCATAGAAAGATAAAAATATATATATTTTTAATTACCTGTTAATGATGGACGGTTTCCTTCTATCGAGACAAATATCAAAATACCCAGAGAAATCTTCCCCAAAAGAGGAAACATAATCATTTAGGCCCAAAACAAGTAAAGAAGAGGGCAAAATCCTTAACTGAACATCCAAAGACTTGAAATTTCCAATTAAAAAATTGCTAGAGGAAAGGCATAACGTTTACAAGTTTATTTTTAGAATGGATAACCACTACAAAACCGTTATAAATTAAAGTAAATAAACATGGTATCCCTTCAAAGTGGCTCTGAAATAAGCAGCATGCTGGGAAAGCAGGAGATAAGCTAATTAGAACAGATGGGAGAGACAATTTCTTTAATCTAGCCAGCTAAGCTCTTTATTAACACTCTCCTTGCCCTTAGCCAGCAGTTCATTTAGAAATAATATTTCAATTTCATATGAATTCTCTGACTTTTCTAACTTCTTTATCTCTATTCATCAAATCTGAAAGATTCACTTGTTCTTTGGGTTCCCCTATGGCCTAAGCTATATATGCATAACATTTCCAGACTGATTACACCTACCTATTTCAGTAACACAGAGCCACATGCAACGCAAAATTAGTTTCCATAATAAAGCCATCATATTGTAAATTTCCCTGATAGAAAATCTCTCTTTCACTGAAGTGGGTAATTATTCTTCTTGACGGCCTAGTTCAAAAAGCTAAAAAAAAAAAAAAAATCTGAGCATTGCAGCACTATGAAAACCTTCCTCCACTTAGACTGAGAAGACCAGGGCTTAAATCCTGGCTTTACCACTTCCCATCTGATTTTGGCAAATCACCAAAACTCACTGAGCTGTTTTATTCACCCAAAAAATTATGATAATCTCTGCCTATAACATGGAGTTGTAAGAATTAAGAAATATAAAAGTTATTGGGGAACTAATACATTGTGTTCTAGTTGTATTACAAATGTTTTTTAAAGTCTACAGGGATTTTAAGCTTTGAAATTCACTTTTGTTCAAGCTCTAGAACAAAAAAAAAAATTCCTTATATTCCACGTAGAAAATGTACTTAAGATCTTCAAAAACATTTACTGTGTCTTAGGAAATATAGCTTATAAAATTTTGGAAACATACAATTAAAAAAACCAAAAACATGAAAAATTCAGCTGGGTTCATTTGCTTCTAAATAGGTTCATTTTATAAATTCATTTTAACTTGACAGCTGATGTAATTATAACTTTAACGGTGACATTCTTGAAGTAATTATATCTATGCTATAAAGGCGTAAATTCATCCCATGAGACTCCAGAAGCAAATTTAACTCCAACTGTAAAAGTAAAGGGGATTTATTAGGAAAGATGTATCTCAGCTGACTGGAGCGGCCTGGTCGGAATCTCAGTCAGTGGGGCTGTGGTGCTGGTAGTGGTGACCAGGACAGATTCAATTTTTTTCCTAAAGAAGCCGGGGTGATGGCGCACACTTGTAATTCCAGCACTCTCGGGGACGGAGGCAAGAGGATTTCAAGTTCAAGCCCAACGTGGGCAATGTAGCCACTCAGCAAGACCCCACGTCAAAATAAAAAACAAAGATCGGACATGTAGATCAGAGTGAAGGCCCAAAATTTAATCCCTAGGACCACCAAACATAAAAAAATTAAAAAGTAAAGAAATTTCGGATCATGATCAATTAAGGTATAAAAGCATACCTTTTATACAAAAATTTTAAAGTATCTGCTAGAGTAAATAAAAGCATATGGTAAATAAAGAATGAAGGCTCAAAAAGTTAGTCGCTGTACATTATGGAATACCTTGAAAGTCTTACCAAATTTTTGTATTTTTACCTATAGATGAAAGAGATTATCTCTGGAATAATTAATCACTCAGAAAAATATTGTTCGTTTTCATTTAGGGGTAATCTTTCTTTCGTTCTTTTTTTGGTACTGGGAATCGAACTCACGGCCTTACGCTTGCCAGGCAGGTGCTGTACCACTGAGCTATACCCCTGGCCCGAGGGGATTCTTTTTAGAAGATATTTCAAAATATCACATCATGGTCCTTGAACATTGCTATGTATCAAGAAATGTCCATAAGCATATGAGAAACTAAACATAAAATTCTGTTCTTTGAAGATAACCAGTACTAGATTGTTTCACCCATACCCAATTCCAAATCAGCTGAAGATCATTTATTGAGTGCTTACTAGCAGCTACTACATTCCTTGTATTAAGTACAAGAAATGCAATATATTCCAGTGTCTGAGGAGCTTATCACATACAGAGCTAGGTGTGTATAGAAATAACAGAATAGAAGTGATTAAAGAAGTACATACAGATTGTCACCCGGAAGAGAGGATGTTTGCACAGGTGTGGGTGGTAAATCAAGAGTTTAAATTGGGGTAGGAAAAGGGACCAACGTGTGCAGAGGCCTGCAGGTGTGAGGACAGTGTCACACCAACTCCACACAGCTGTCCTTGGCTTCGACAATGATGAGCACACTGACAACGTTCACAACCTGGCTCCACGTTTTCTTTGACGAAGACAGCACACTGCTGTAATCATGATAATTTCAAATAAGGTTTATCTTCATCTGGAGTTTTTGTTTCTTTTGTTTTGTCTTTTTGAGACAGGGTCTCATTATGCAGTTCAAGACGGCCTTGAGCTCACTTTGTAGCCCAGGCTGGTCTCAAACTCCAGTGATCCTCCTGCCTCAGCCTCCCCAGTGCTGGGATTACAGGCGTGCGCCACCACGCCCGGCTTCATGTGTAGTTTTTATAGGAACAATGACTGATTTCCCCAGTCCCCAAAGGGAATGCAGTCGGTTTCAGCGGGACAGTGCAGGCCAGAGCAGATGAGGCCCCATAATCACAGAACCGTGTCTTACAACCTGCCATGAGCATAAATGTCAAGTTCCCGGAAAAGATCAGTGACGAGAGACTACAGAGAAAAGTACTTAAAGCATGAATGAAAATTTCGTGTAACTAAAAAGTAGAGGTCAACGGAAAAATGAGATGGAATAGTGCCTGGAATGAAACCAGGATTGGGGCTGGGGATTTAGCTCAGCGGCAAAGCGCCTGCCTGGCAAGTGCACGGTCGTGAGTTCGGTTCCCGGTACCGGAGAAAAACCAAAAAAAAAAAAAAAAAGAAACCAGGATGGGCTCTGTATGATAAATCTGGACCTCTTTTTGCTCCTGGTATAAAAAGAGAAATTATCTGATTTTAAGAAATATTACACTTCATCAAAGTCACAGTCAAAGGATAGGTACATTAACCATCTCATTAAATTAGCAGCTTATAAAATAACAGCCTTTTTAATAACTTGAATTTTTAAAGTAGCCCTGAAGTAGTGGCTTTTTAATTGCCAGTTTTGCTATATGAAGCCCCAACCTCCAGCTCACTGGAAGTTATAACTGGACCAAAAGTTTGATCCACATAAGAACTAACTTGAGACTATTAACTTACAAATAGAATCATTATGAATTTCAATATTATACCTAGAGAAAAAAGTAATACAGAGCAGATAATCTCTGCTGGGTTTCAGAAAATTGTAAATCTGTCTCAACACACTGCTATAGCAACTGGAACACTAGAAAGTAATTTCATCGAAATGTAAATTCAGGGCTGGGGTTTTAGCTCAGCGGCACAGCGCCTGCCTGGCAAGCGCGAGGTTGTGAGTTCGATTCCCGGTACTGGCGGGGGAGGGGAGGGAGGGACAATGAAATGTAAATTCAGTCACTGGATGTATTCTGTATGTTTTTGCCATCGAAATTTATGATAAACTTACAGTAACAATTTATATCATACTCAAAACTAAATGCTAACATTTAACACATCTGTATACGACTATGAAACACAGGTATGAAAGATTTCCTTACAGGACCCAGTAGTACTCACACGAACTTTTGATAAGCTGGGGTTTTGTTCTTTACATGAATGGTACTACTGCAGCAGCGAAAATGTTTCTTTGAAGACTTTCTCCTCGGCACTGAACTATAGCTCCCATAATGTTATCATGGATTTAATTTATGAAGCCTCAAAACATCACAACTGAGTAAGCTGTTCTCCAACTTGGGAAAACTGCCTAATCTAATGCTTTAGCAGGATTGTTTAGATTTTAATTCATCTGTAAAGCTGAAGCCATAAAGGTAAAACAATACAAGCCTGAAAAGGTGAATCTTCATTTCTAACATTAACCTACCTTTCTATATTGGATTAAAGTATATTTAGGTGATACTGAAAATGGTAACCTACTTAATTTAAATGTTTTAAATTATGCGCTTTACATCAAAACCAACATCTTACACATGCACTTTTTAAGGTATAGTGAGGGTTACATTCTAGAAAACGTAATGGTTTCTTGGCACCCACGTGCAAGTAATAGATAACTTAGAGATGGGAATGTTACTGCTATATGGGAATTACATTTAAAGACATTTTGTATTAAGCCAAAATACAGAACTAATAAGTTTGTCATATTCTTGAGCTATCTTTAATATTTCTTCTAAAAAACAGATGCTTGTATTGACAATAAAAATTTTTATACAGAATCTACCTCCTTAGTCTAGCTCTATTTATAAAATATATTCTGCTAAATCAATTATCATTCTGAAAACCTGCTTCACCCTAAATTCCGGCTAGATAAAGCACTCCAGAAGGTTTCACTACGGACTGTTTCTATAAAACTGCCATTGCTTCTACTCCATTTTTTCCCTAAAGGAGTAGAATATACTTTCACGAATTTCCATACTGTGTCTTAGGAAAAGCAAGCAGACACTGCCATGATTCCAAGATCGCTGAGGGAGTGTCTGGGATTCTCCCTGTGAGCCGATGAGTGTAAGGAAAGGAAAATGTATCCTCAGTGCTGTAACAGCCGCTCAGCACAGCCTGAAGCCTGAGTCTACTCAGAATGGGTATGACCAATCTTACCGATAAATAAGCATCAAAAAATAAATCAAAGAACCACAGTGTATTCTACCTTTAACTTTCTGTAAAGCATGGTTTGTGGGTAACTTCAGTTTTACCAACGGCTGATATATTTCAATATTTTGAGTTCGCAGAGGTAACTAAACCAACTACCATTATATTTGGTACTAAAAGATACACCTTTCAATAAAATTACTGCAATGTGTAAGAACATTACCTTCTGTACAAACACTTGTCTGGTCACTGACAACTTTTTCCATGTTCTTTCACAGAAGCATTCTCTACGTCCCTTCTCCCCTCCCCTCTCCACCTCTCGAGTTCCCCCGTGTTCCCAAAGAAACTCTGTTCTTACACGAACACTAAAGTTGTTTGTTCCTTCACAAAGGACTCAGGAATGAAAGCCTATTCTTTTCAGAAGACAAGTTCACGTGTTGTGCCTAACAAGACGCTGGCTAATAGTAAATACAGTTGAGCACACCTTCTCTGAAATTCTGGAACCAGAGGTGTATCAAATTCTGTTGTTTTTTGGTTTTTTGGGACAAGGTCTCACTATGCAGTTCAGGCTGGCCTTGAACTCACTTTATAGCCCAGGCTGACCTCAAAATCGCAGCGATCCTCTGGCCTCTGCTTCCTGAGTGCTGAGCTTACAGGCGTGCGCCACCACTCAACTTCTGGACTTCGGAATATTTGCAAATATGTAATGAGATATCTCGGGGCTGAGTCCCACGCCTGAACATAAGGAATTCACTCATATTTCAAGTACACCTTACACATGATGCATCCTGTGCGCTGACTGTGCCCCGTGACAGGAGGTTAGATGTGGCATTTTTCCACTCGCTGATGCTTAGAAAGTTTCGGATGTTGGAGCATTTTGTATTTTTGAAGCAATTTTCTTATCTGATTAGGGAATCTCCTGGACCCAAAATGATAAACGAGTTAACTACATGTTTGTTAAAGAAGGAAGAAAAATTAATTTAAGTATCAGTTATATGGTATACAGAAAGGTGTCATACAATTAGAAATTAATTTTAACAATGGCTCATGTTTCTTAGGGAAAAAAATCACACCTCAATATCATGAACTGGAAATATGTTTAATATAAAATGTTGATATTCTCAAAGCATTATTTTCACATGAATTTAGGAAAATGAGTTTTAAACAATTTCCAAAACATAATAAAGGACAGCGGTATCTTTGAAAAACATACGAACAGAAAAGTTAAGAAATCACAAGCTGCTTCACATACCTGCTTCCCCAAGTAACACGTACAAAAGAACTTAACCGTCACCTACGCAAGTCCCCACCCCAAAGCCCACACAAACCGGGAATGAAGTGCAGTTACCGCCTCCTTCACGTGAGATCCCCCGCACAGAGACATCCGTAGTAACATACAGATGGTGACATGGTTAACAGAAGCTAAGGGCACGAGGCTTACGTGACAGCCTCAGTTCAGCTTCTAAAATCAGATGTTCAGACATTTAGTTTTATCTTAAATTGCTTTTGCTTCAGTGCTTTACATAGTTACAATAAATCTAAGAGATGTTTAAAACACATTAAAGTAATATTCTTAGAAAACGTTCTTAGCTGAGAAAATACAATATGATCATGTCTCCCTCAAAATATTCCTGATATCAGAAGGTTCTAAATTTTTTAATCATATATAATAACACCATGATCACATGAATTCAGTAGAACTGCTACCTGAATATTTAATAAAATATTAAGCGCCATAGGTTTAAGAACCGTAAGGGGTATCATAGGGCTCTAAAAACTACAATATAAAAGAAATGAGAACAATCTAGCTTTGCAGATGAATACTGGGTAAACAGTAACAAAATTATATATTTGGTTCTAATAATTAATAAATAGAACTTTGGAAGTATTCTTTGTGTTAAAATTATGAGGACATCTATACTTACAGAAACTGTGTACATACGTTCTGGGATACTGTAGGAGTGAATATTTATACAGCAATCCCCCAAATAAACTAAACTGAACTACAGATATAATTTTTAAAAACTTATTTCAGACAGATATTTTTGTTCCAAATTTTACCCTGAACAAATTAGCTAAATTCTCAGATCCCCACATACAACAAAAGAAATTAAAGCAAAGTAACTTGATTTAGCAGTAGAGAATAAGCTGCACTTTGAAAGTGAATTATCATCTTCCTAAGATTATGAATGCCTTTTTTACACTATACAGAAGGGATGCCGTAAATGGCATTTTCTGAAGCCTTGATACTAAATTTCTTTTTAAAAAAATACACAGTATTTATACTGCATGCTTGAGCTGCAAAGAATAGAATTACAATATTGATAAGACTTGTCAACAAATCTGACAAGCACTGGGGCTGGCACCAGGGAGGACTTGGCCCCCATCAACACCCAGTCATGTGGAAGTGAAGATCACAGAGTTGATTACCTACAAACACGTTCCCACATTACGTATGCTAGTGCATAATCCAAGCATATTTACTCAGAAAAATATCAAATATTTATGAAATTTTAATCTCTATCTATATCATCCCCATTCCCACTCTATCTATGAGAGTCCAACAATTCTAATAACATATTTTATATGTTTTAAATAACGTTCAATGATTTATAAAACTACTGGAAGTTATTTTCTTCTCGGTGCGCTAACACAAACGCCGGTAAGCGGCTTTCCAGTAATCTTAGAGAACATCTGTGTCATGTTTGTGCAGATTAACTAGCTACTGCTGCCCTTCTGTTGCTGTAAATGAAGTTTCAAAATGAGCTCTCGAATGTCTTCCCGTTTGGTCTTTATTACATGACGAGGAAACCATTTCTCCAAGTGAATTGGAAGTTCAAAGTTAACAATAGGATCCTAAAGAAAAAAAAAAATGAAATCACTGTAACAGTGGGATTTCAAATTTGTTTTAATTTCACTTATGCAAGAAAGACTGTTAACTTTTTAAAAACAGCTTTATTGAGATTTAATTTGCATGACATACAATTCCCCTGAAGTATTCCACAGAATTTTAGTTTATCAAGAGTTGTACAACCATCATCCCTATCAATTTTAGAACACTTCCACTAAATTGCGAACTGTTGAATATCAAAATTACACACCAGTGATGGAGAACCTTTTAGAGTTAAATGCCCAAACTGCAAAGAGCCGAACCAAAACCCACGTATTTATCACACACTCTGCCCCTACGGGCACTGTTACCCAGCTGGTCGCTGGGGTAGTGGTGCGGTGTCCTGGCTCATGTGCTGAAAGAGAGGGTTCTGCATGCCCACGGCAGCACATGTGCCCCGGGTTCACCACCACTCTACAGTAGGATATTTGTTCTATTGCAGTGCACACTTAAGAGTTACCATAAACAGAACTGGTTAATAAAGAATGACTCAGCATAACCCAGAAGTCAGGTTGATCTAAACACCATTTTTCCCAAAATGTTAACATTTTTTTAAACTAGTAAAACAAAGAAAAAGCCCTGGTGATAAAGAATTTCAGAAAAAAGAATAGAAAAGTACACAAAAGGTTCTTCTTTAGGTGTAAGAAATAAACTATGTTGGGGCACACACCTGTAATCCCAGCACTCAGGTGGCTGGGGCAAAAGGATCACCAAGAGTTCAAGGTCAGCCTGGGCTACATAGCAAGACCTTGTCTCAAAATGCAAAAAAAATAAAATAAAATAAAATGTTCCACAAAACTGTAAGAAATAACCATTTAACTGCTTCAAGAACGGCTACATTTTCCATTATGTTAAGCTTAACCAGGAAAATACAAGTTGCAAATGTAAAGACATTTCTCTGGGTTTACATTTTAAAAATTTCTAAAAAAAAAAAAAATCTACCTTACAGTATGTTTATAAGTGTAATGAAATTATAAGAAGCCAACTGTGAGGATTTACATATTGAAGAAGGAATTAAGAGCCCAAGGACATAAGGTTCAAATCCACTGACTGATTCTAGGAGCAAATGGTCAGTGGAGATCTACTGCCTAGTATTTTCATTAGAATTAATACGATTTTTTGCTAAGATTACAAGATCCATGGGTGTTTAGTGGTCTTCCCCAGATGTATTTCTTTTAACCTAAGCCTTGTATTAGTGCACAAATTTGAGAAACACAAGATTTAGATTTTTAAACTTCTATCCCAGAAATTTTATATGGTACTTCATCTTGTAGTTATAAAATCACATAACAATGGGAGAATATATCATGTAACAAGGCACACTGAATATTCCAAACACAAAATCAAATCCATTTGCAACGAGTTTTAGAGAACCAGAATCATCATTCTGTGATGAAGTCCCGGTGTGGAAAACAAAAGATGGGAAAACCCAGCAGGTGTTTAACGGTTTTTATCAATGTGTACCATCTTTTACTACATAGTAGCACTCCTTCCTAATATTAAAGACACCAAAAAAGTTGTAACTGCCTGCTACAATCCTCATGCTTTGAAAGTACCCGTAAGTATTCTCTAAGCAGGCTCTTGGCCACAAACTCCCTCCTCTTTTACCTGTATTACAAATAATACTGTAATTTCTGAACTAATGCAATGATAGTTCAAAGGGAAAGAGTGATTCTTTGCATATAGGTTTTTGTCTTTATATTGTCACAGCTCCTATGAAATTTCTGTAAGCCAGAAAATAACAGCCATGTTTGTCACTGTATTTTCCTAGCTACAGCCCTGAGCTTTTTAAATAAATGGGTTTTTTAGCTGGGGGAAATCCTCTTTAAATATTGGACCTACCCTACTCTCCTCTCTCATTCCCTCCAATTCTCTGAAAATCTAATTGGCCAGAAATTTGTCACTGCATGCGGATAACTATGAATGAAAAAACACATCTTCACACACCTTGAAGAAGCTTTCCACATATTGCAGTAAATACACTCCACAATCACTGCTGTTATCCTGTTTCGGAACTTTAGGGCACAGGTCCACCATGTTTGTTTTGCTGAATTCACGATGAGTTTTTCGCTTAACTTCCCATTCTACCTCTAAATATCTGAAATAAGAAGCGACTTGAGTAGGAACCTATCAGTATGCAATACTTTCACAAGGGTAGAAAAACACTGCTAGATGTGTTGCCTCCAACTGAATTCCCAAAGACTGGCCTTTAATTACAAAATACATTCATATGAACCGGCACAATGCTATTGTAATGAAAATAATGCAACCTCCCAGCAATAGTTTTGATAATCACTTATATTTGCAATGCTCCTTTGTAAAATTATGGACTTTGTTCAATTATGAATACAATTTCTAAATTTATGCTTGATGTAATCCCTGAGAAATATTAATATTTGAATATTAATGCATAATAGAAGATATTCTCTACTGATTAGATCTGTAGGCTTCATTTAAGTACATATTAAAATACAACTCTTCAGGCCAGGGATATAGCTCAGTGGTATAAGCGCCTGCCTGGCAAGTGCAAGGTCCTGAGTTTGATTCCTGGTACCAAAAAAAAATCCCTAAAACACAACTCTTGATATAGCATTTTCAGTAATTCTTAAGATAGTTTCAAAATTACTGAGACTTTAGATAACAGAATGATGTTAAAATTGTTATCACTTACTCTCGTAAATTCTGAACTGTATTTTGTACAGAAGCAGCTTTCAAGGAGTCTAGTATGAGAATACAAGGCCTATGAAAAGCAAAGAAAGAAAGATGTACATACTTGTAATAAGTGTAGTGAAATGCATGAAAACTATATTATGCGGCACATGCTTACCTTTTACACATTTTCTTTGGAACTGACATACTCATCTCGGTATTCTGAAATTAACATAAATTTTTATGACTTTCAATTAAAACTAAAATATACTGATATTCAGTTACTCCTTAAAATTTTTCAAACAACTTTAAAATTAAAATTTCAAGTAAGACTTATTTTTATCAGCTGAAGTAACCTAACTTCAGTTTTTAAGAATTCATTGATTTATTTCCTTATACTGGTAAGATAGTAGTATATATACTTTTACATGAGTCTCAAGTAGTTATGGAGCCTTAACATGGCCTGCAAAAACCATCTGGAACTAGACCTCTATCTATGTAACACCTCAAACAATGACGAACAAGATAATCTGACCTGTCTCACAATATTTATTTTCTAACAGAATTCATGTCATTAGAGATACATTTCTTCCCTTGGAAGTACATGAAGTAGAATATTAATCTGTAATAAGGTAAAGGGACAGGAAACTGTATTTTTGGCTGATGTTCTTGTTCATAAATTTGAGCAAACAATGGATCAAACTCAGACTTCTTTAAGGCAGACTTTCTCTTTTTTTTTTTTTGTCTTTTTGAGAGACAGGGTCTTACTAGCAGTTCAGGCCGGCCTTGAGCTCACTTTGTAGCCCAGGCTGGTCTCAAACTCTCAACAAGCCTCCTGCCTCAGCCTCCCAATTCTTTTTGGTTTTTTTGGACCTTTATTTTTCTAATGTACACACTGAACTTCTGAAAGAGGAAATTAAAGCAAGCTAAACAAATATAATAAAACTGGTAACGTCTCTTCGCTTTCCCAAAAATTGTCAATGAATCATAAAACAGCGCAATTTAATTATGAGTCACTAATATCCATCCCAGTCTGCTTATCTATGCCATATTTATATCTAATATTACGAGTTCTCCTTCTTCCACATCTGTACAGAACACACTTACTTGGGAATCCTCTGCATTTGAAGGTAGTGTTGACATAGCATGTAGATCATGGTCTGACAGGAATTAGAAACAATGAAGCAATTATGAAGTTTTATTGAGGTTTAACGCAGATAACTTATATAAGCTTAAACTGTGACTTATATGTACAGCAATATGTACAGCAATCCATTTAATTTCTTTCATGATTGATGTTATAATCAGTCACTAAAACTGAAGACGGTTTGCTCATATGAGACAGCACATAAGCTCCTGGGCCAGAACCTGAAATGCCAGTTAGCAGGGCCAATTTTTATACGGCAATTTTCAAATGTCTCCTATTTTAGCATGGAAGATAGTTAATTTGCCTAGTAATGGTTCTTCTATAACCATGTAGTTTGCGTAAGTACACTTCTGAAGCTGAAAAGAACCAGAGAAAATTGAAAATAATCAGTTGTTCTATCAGCTTTTCTCTCTTTCCCCTAGGTTTTGGGCAGTATTAATGGAAATGGCTATTAGCAATTGTGCTTGCTACTTAGACCATAGTTATAAAACAATTTTTATATTTTTTTCAAAGTAGGCTTGTTTAATATTTTAGAGTTATAAGAAAAATCATGAAAGTATAAGAAATCCTATATTATCTCTGAATTACTAATGTATAAGAAATACATTAAATCATATTAAGAAAAAAAATGAGATATCAAGATCTATGGCACGAATTCTTAATCATGTTAGCAAAACTTTTCTTTGAAAACTCTATAATAAAACTTGATATCAACAATATAATTTAAGAACAATATTTTGTCTATACCTAAGACTAGGTTTCGTGAAAATTTCATTTTTTATTCTCCCTTCCAGTAAGTTTAATAATATATAACTAGATTACTTTTAACCCCATACTACTGCCCATAACCATTTTATTATTGTCTTTGTTATTAAAAATACCTTCCGCTTTAACAATATCACCTATTGTTTTAATGTCTTGTTGAGACTGCTGGGATATAGTTTCTGGAAAATCTTCATACACAGCTTCTTCTAACCATGGAAAACAAATTACTGCAAGATACCAGTGAGACCTGTTGGAAAAAAAATCTTAATAACATGCAAAAATCTAAGTATTATAGAATATGCTCTAGAGCTGCATCTGAGAAAGTAGACTATGACAAACTTACTCTGAAGACATCTGTTACAATATCTGATATAATGTAGAGCACATGTTCTAAACTAAACAGCTATTTCTTTTGTTGTCCAAAAGCTTTTTTTTTTTTGGTTTTTCTCTGGTACCGAGCCAAAAGCTTTTTAATAAGGGGAGATCCCATATGTTGATTCTTTGTAGTATTTCCCATAGGGTCTTGGTTTTGTTCATGAAGTCTCTGCCTACATTTAGGTCTTCAAGATTTCAACCTATTTTCTCTTCCCATAAATTTTGTGTTTCTGTCTTAATACTTAGATCTTTGATCTATTTTGAATTTAGTTTAGTGCATGGTGATAGACATGGGTCTAGTTTCAGTCTTTGGCATGTGGAAAGCCAGTTTTTCCAGCACCATTTATCAAAGACACTATTTTTCTTCCAGGGAACATGTTTGGCCCCCTTTGTCAAAGATAAGGTGGCTGAGTGTGTTTGGAGTTACATCTGCATCTTCTACTCTGTTCCACTGACCCTCAGGCCTACGTGTTGCCAGGACTATGTTGATTTTATCACAGTAGCTGTGCAGTATAATTTCCAGTAAATGATTGTGATGCCTCCTGCCTTGACTTTGTTGCCCAGAACTGCTTTTGCTATTCTAGGTCTCTTTTGGTTCCAAATGAATTTTAGGAATTTCTCTAATTCTGTGAGGTGTACTAATGGCGTTTTGACTGGGATTATATTAAATCTTCAGAACAGTTTTGGGAGTATGGCCATTTAACTATGTTGGTTCTTCTTATCCATGGACCAGGGATATCTTCCCATTTTCTGGTATCTTCGTTGATCTCCTTTTTCAGAGTACTGTAGTTTGTGAGACTCTCTATAAGTTTGTTCCTTGTGTACAGGAATGCTACTGATTTCTGAGTTCTGACTTTGTATCCAGCCACACTACTGAATTAGGTTATTAAATCTTGGGTTTAGAGGTCCCATTTAACCCAGCAATTCTACTGCTGGGTATTTTCCCAGTTTTAAAAACATCATACCACAGCAATATATATGCACCGATGTTTACAGCAGCAATTTGTAATAACTAAACCTTGGAAGCAACCCAAATGCCAATCAACCAAGGACTGGATAAAAAAGATGTGGGCTTTTTTATATATTAGAATACTACTCGGCCATAAAGAAGGACAAACTGGAAACTTACACAGGTAAAAGGATGCAAATTGAGACCACACTCATAAGTGAAATAAACCAGACCCGCCTATGCAAATGCTGTATTGTCTCCCTAGTGTGAGAAACCGAATAAATAAGATCCAAATTGTATAACAGATATTAGACATAGGGAAGAAACTATCCAAAAAAAAGAAAAACTGTGATGGAGAATGGGGAAAGGAAGGAAGGGAAAAGGAAAAACAAAATATTATGTAGATAGATAAGTAGACAGAAGATAGACAGAGAGACAGATTGATTGATTTTTTTTGCGGGGGCAGGGTCTTTTTGGGACAAGGTCTCACTATGCAGGTCAGGCTGGCCTTGAACTCACAGAGATCCTCCTGCCTCAGCACCTCAAGTGCTGGAATTACAGGCATGTGCCACCACACCCAGCCAATATCACTTTCATAAATTGTTCTCTTACATATTTGAAGATTCATCCTAAATCTTCTGTATTTTTAATTTAGAAAATTCTTTCTTGAATTAAAAAAAGTGAGTGTTGCAGTCATGAGTCTTCTACTGATTTTCATTTTATTTTCTTCACTCTATTTACAATATAAACATCACCAACTAAATTCCAAGATAAATAACTATTTCAATGATTTTCATACAAACTTAAAAATCATGCCTGGGATTTATGTACCCATACTTGGTACTGACTGTTAGCCTAAAAATACAAGAATTATTTCTTCTAAACTCTCTCCATTTGTTTTTAAATAACCAAAAATACTCACGACTCATTTACAGGTACAAAGATGTAATCTTTATTAAAAATGTTTATGTGACGAGTCCATGTTCTCACTCTTTTATGCCTTCTTTGCGCCATTCTGGAAATATGAAAGGTAGACGACTTATAAAAAGTTTAAAATTTAAGATAAGAATTTCAAAAGCCCTTTTTGTATACTGAAAATACTAGGTTTAGTTAACTATCTTCAAAATACATAATTTATCACATTAGAAAATAGATCCTTTTATTAACTCATAGCTATTATTAAACTTGATCACTAAAAACAATAATAAAACAGAATAAAGACAAATTTACTAAATCTCTTTAGATTCCAAAGTGGCTCGGCAACTAAGGATAAACTTATCTCTATCTATTTATTCTGCATAGCTCCACTGACCAATATAGTATCTCTGATGAAGTAGGTGCTACACCTTAAGGAGGAGAAAAAATGCTTCTTTTTTCTGAGTTATTTTTTAATTGTTTCTTGTTGCTGCTGCTGTTGTTGTTTTTGAGGGGGTTGTTTTGTTTTGAGACAGAGTATCACTGTATAATCCAGGCTGGCCTGCAACTCATGACGTAGTGCAGACTAGTTTGGCCTCAAAACTCTCCTACCTCAGCTTCCTGAGTGTGTTTTTCTTAAGATTTTAGGAAACTCATCTCCCTTCAAACACAAAGAAACAATCGGACAAGGCTAAGTGTACCCACTACCCATTCCATCTTCATCTTATTTCTTCAACAAAAATTTCTACACTGCCTTAGAATAATTTATAATATAATGAAGGCAGAAAAATCAACAAAGGACTATAACTGTTATAAGGATTACAAAGGAACTATGTTCAAGAACTGCAAACAGCTACCTGGAACAGAGAGAATACACACACACACACACACACAATAGTTTACATACATCAGGGAAATTATATCAAACTAAGTTCAGATATTTAAAAAAAAAAAAGATTTAGGATAATGACATTTAACAGGGGCATAAAGGAGGTAGCATGTAACTTCTGGCTCAGTGCCTTAAAAGGAATCTTTATATGCAGGAAAGAAAACAAACAATTAAGTTCATATATACCAAGCAATATAGGAAACAAATGTCTCTGCCCCATCCTTGTTCATCTGAACAGTGTCTGACTAAAGCTACAAGGGGTAAACATGAGAGGTAAGAAATGCAGAATGAGCGAAAAAAGATGTGACGGAGTTTGGATAACCTATGAAAGACCATTACACACAATCAAAAGTCAAAAGCTTACTGAATTATCACCTTTTAGAATGACCCACACAACTACTTTCAATGACTGCATAGACTATGCACTTATGTTCTATTCAAGAATCTTAAGGACAGATACTTTGTTTTGTTTCTTTTATTATGTGAGTGGTTGGTAGGCTTCCTTATTACGCTAATCTTGATGTAGGATAGAGGAAACAAGAGACAGGTAAAAAAGAGACAAGGAAAGTGTAACTAAAAATTGTACTTTTAAGAAGACTGCAACTCCTGGGCCTCTGCTGAATTACCCAAGGAGATGCACATCATTTCCTCGGTGAAATTTAGGTTCCTTCCCTTCCAGACACAGCACCCTCAAAATCCCGCAGGAATACTGAAAGCCCATAAACTGGCTTAACTGAGAAAGTAAAGGGCAGAAACCTCACCCTAAAATAAAGGAACAGGTTGAGACAATCCAAAGGATGTTTAAATTACCTTTTCAAGAACAACGGAACAAAGCAAGTGGGCGCACACCTGCACTGTGGGCCATTACACTTCTGGGGGTGGGCTACTCGGGGTTCCCACCCGTCAGGAGAAGCATGAATGCTCCCCATTCCAGGAAATGAGGTGCCTCAGTTCTGTGTCTGCACTCCATTCTTGAGAATATACTTAAATCCTGCCTAATAAGCCTTTTCCATGGTTCTTACACACCCTGAAAATTCTTCTTCCACAGGAGCAGTCAGGGAACCTGTGATCCCACGGTATGTTCACTGGGGGTCAGGTTTCCTACCTCACCTTGGGCAACCTTCTCACACCCTGTCTGGTGATGATCTTATTTGTAATATGTGAGACAGAGAGTGGTGCAGGGAAGACAGAGAATACGAGGCCCACAACACATCCCTTTCTCAGTTCTTGACTCAGTATAAAGCCCTCAATTAAACGCCTTAACAATTCTCACCAGGTGTGGTGGTCACGCCTGTTATCCCACGAGTCAGGACGGTCGCTGCAAGTTCGAGGCCAGCCTGGGCCACACAATGAGGTCAGGGCCAGCCTGAACTACATAGCAAGACCCGGTCTCAAAAAACAAAACATACACAGGTACACACAAACGTATCTTAAAAGTTCTCAGTGTTCAACAACAGATAATCTCCCCACTGACATACCAGCAAATGAATGCAGACGAAGGTCAGTTACAATCTTGTATTCTGAGTCCCTAGCATGTTCCAAACACTGAGTACGGCACTAGGGATACAGTGGAGACAAGAAAGATGAAGAACCTGACTCCTCAGACCTTATGGTGAGAAACAGAAAATCCTGCCTCTCTCTCAGTTCACTACACCACCTCTGTAACTGTGATATTTGTTTGCTTATTTATTTTCTGTTTCTCATTATAAATTCTCTGTGGCATCTCATTATAAATACCAAAAATCTTAAATAGCAAATTTATTTAATAAATCTTCCCCTTATATTATCAGGAATATTTTTAAATTGTCAGTCTGCCTATGTGTCTGTCTGTATGTCTGTCTGTCTCTCTCTAAGAAAAGGTAAGAGTTTACAGTATTTAGATCAGGGTATGCTGCCAGGGCGATAGCAGGTGAATTTCCAAGATACACTGAAAATATCAGCGATTAAATGACAAGGATTTACATATCATCCAGTTATATCACTCGCTAGGTGTCTGCCTATAGCAAAATTATTTAAACTTTATTAGTCCACGTCCTTGTCTAAAAAAACAAGAGGGGCCGGGGATATAGCTCAGTGGTACAGCGCCTGCCTGGCAAGCGCAAGGTCCTGAGTTCAACTCCCGGTACCTAAATAAAGAAGTAAGATATAATTTCTATGCCCTGAGTACCAAAAATCACTGTTATAAGAGGAAAAAATGAAATAATGTACATAGGTATACCTTGTAAACTGCAGACAGACGTTTATTTTAGCTTTTTTAAAAATATAAATTGCTTAGGCGCCTACTTAAAGGATTACAAAACCAACTGTGGACACGGCAAAGGGGTGAAAATCACTATGCTGCAGGAAGTACCTGAGTTATGACTAAGAAATCACTTCCTCCTTTCACCTATCCCTAGATACTTCTCCACAGCTGCTCATATTACTCAAATATACTTGGGCAGAAATTCACCTAAACTGTACAAACAAATGTGGTATTTCATATAATGTTACATCCATTTAATTAAATAGTAGTATGTCAGCAAGGACCTAAACAGGAAAACAAAACGTACTCTGAATTTTTGTTAACAGATAGAATACAATGTATGTGGACTACAGCGGTGGAAGAAAAAGTACAAAGCAAAACAAAACAAAACAAAACGGCAGTGAAGCAATCAAAGATGAAGAAAGTAGGGAAGTGCTACAGTAAAGGTACCCGCAGATGAAAACTGCAAGTCTAGCTGGTCTATCCAGTTAGAAACAGAATCAGAGGAAACACAGGCTCAGAAAAAAACATGGCTCAAGGCAAAAAGAAGAGGGAAAAAACAGCCTGGCTTTTTAAATCTTTGCCCTCCTTTTAGTACCATGTAAGACATGCAACTGGACATGCAGGCTGCACGAGTCGGCCTCCCTGTCGCAGGAAGCAGAACAAGGAAAGGACAGCACAGGCTCCACAGCAAGGAGACCCAGGACCTGCACAAGTGGTAACACTGCACTCTACGAGGAGCACCAAAATAGTACATTTTGTCTTTTCTGTTATTTTCTCTTAAAACTTAGGTACATCAGACAATGACTTACGAAAGATCTGGATTATCTTCTGTTAAATTATTTTCCTTTCTTGTCAAGCATTTATAGAAAAAGCTACTGAAAATGTGACTTCGTTCAACAAGTTCATCTGATGCCTTCTCCAATATAAGATACCTATAAAGCAGCAAGCCCACAACAGTAAGTTAGTATTAAGTTTTACCTGGCTTTTCCTTACATGTTCTGGAAATCACTGTTACATACGATTAGATTCAAAGCAAACATGCATTTTCTGTAATTTCAGCTTTGAGTTTGTTCTTTACTTACTGTATTTCCCATCGAGATTATTTAAAGCAGAAATTGTCTACTCATTCATTCATTTAACTAGCAAATATTTATCAAATTTCTAATATGTACCAAACACCGCCTCAACACTAAAGACATAAAAAAGGGCAGGGACAAATTGAACTCACAATTCAAGTAAGTGAAGATACAAGTAAAGCATCAAATAATCCCACAAATAAATCTAAGACTGAAACTATAGGGTTCCCACACAAATCTAAAAAATTTTAGTAATTTAATCGTGATGAATCTCTAATACATTACTCTATGTTAATACTAAAACAATTCTTCAATAACTTTATAATTAAGTAATTTAGTGAGTAAACACCTCTTAACGAGGGAGTTTTCTTAATAGTTTATACAGGTTTCAAAATGACTTTGCAATTGGTTGTTAAAAAAAAAACTGAGTAGCGAGTTTGATAACCGTAACACTGGCAAGAGCTGAGCAGAAAGAGAACTTCGGACCTACAGAGAGCCTTCGTCAAATACTTAGTAGAGCACGAAACACTGCATGTGTGTGAAGAAAGTACACGGGCCGGGGAAAGAACTACCCAAAGTGATGAGGGGTGATGGAACCCAAAATCCACAGATAGTCAGACTAGAAACTTCGTAAATCCTAAGACATCAGCTAGAGTACTCAGAAGTACTTAGTACTTCCCCACAGTGGGAATTAATCTGTCGGTCTTATTAACAAATCTTAATAAGACACTTAAAAGCATTAAACTGTGTCCAAACAACTAACTGGCCTGTGTCCCAGAACAAAATTAAAGCATACTTAATATAACCTGAAAAATACTAACACCTAATAAAAAAATTACCAGACATCCAAAGAAGTAAATATATATATATATATATATATATATATATATATATATATATATATAGATGACTTATAATAGAAGAGAAAAATCAGTCAATTGAAGCCTACCCAGAATTGAGATAGATGTTAGACACAATAAGAAGAAATGGATATTAAAACCGTTATGGTAACTATATTCCATATGCTCAAAAAAGAGACATGGAAGATATAAAAAAGAACTACATTGAATTTCAAGAGACTAATATCTGCAGTTTCTGTAAATCTACGGGATAATGGGAGATTCTGAGCCTTTATGACCGGAATAAAATTAGTGTATTAGTAAAACAACAAAGCTTAGGTAGGATAATAGTACATTTGGCTTGGGAAAGATCTGCAAAATAATTAGGAGATATCTCAATTAAGTGTTAGAAACTTAGGTCTAGGGATACAGTACAAAATTAAGCCTTTCATTTTAAAAGCTTATAAACTCTTTCATATCTATTCCTTCATCTTCTCCTATTCAACAAACTTTTAAAAATTGAATTTTGATGTGGATTTTTAAAATGGCAGCTAACTTTTACAGTGCTTAAAGATGCAACAGGTAACCGAATAGAGCTGCCCCACCGCAGCTCCCACGGTGCTGTGTAGCAGTGGGGTAGCGCCTCCGAGCCTGTTATCTGGCTCTGGAAGGCACAACCTTCTAGAACCAAACAGACTGTTTTGGCCAGAAAGGGCAGTGAGTCTTCAGGTAATGAAAACCAGCAAGTTCTAGCTTGTGTGTTGAGTACCAAACACACAACAAAGCCCAGGACAAAATTTTCAGATCAAAATTCAACACTAAATCTGACTACTGTCAAAGTAGTTGAGTGCTAAGTATGACTATAACTACTTGCTTTACCATAACAATGCAGTGGTCAAAGAGGCACAAAAACCAACAGGCAGAAAGTAGAACAAACAAAAAACAGGAGCTCTTCTGACATACACAGTATCTATGAGATGCAAAGAAAGAGTTGAAATTGAGTTAGTTAAGTTTTAGTAAAATTCTAGTTGACAAAAGAATTGTCCGTATCTGAAACCTTGGGAAGTTACTCCAACTAAAGGTAAAATAACTCAGACATTGAAAAGTTTCACAGTAAAACGTGTGAGAGAAGTGAGATAACTTATCATTACACATACTTCAGGTAAAAATCAATGATTACATCATTGAGAAACTCCCCTTCCTCCAAACACTCCAGGTCTTCATTAGTCACTCCCAGCCCCCCCTTTGTAGGAGGTGGGGGATAAACAATCAACCTTTAAAAAAGGAAAAACAAAGTGAAAGTATGTTAGTAGTGAACATTCCAGCATCCAAGAAATTTCTTATATGAAACAATAACTTGTATTCTCCATGACTAAAATCTGTAGGGTAAAAAAATACTTGACGGGACATACACAGTTGTATTTCTCTTCATTTTCAAAAGCTACGAAGGTACGCTTACTGCACACCATCACTTCCGGCCCAGTCACCCCAGTGTGAGCCAGTCTTACAGACTGTGGTGTCAGCAGTAGTCTCTGTGTATCTATCAGTACACTTTATCTTACAGTTCTAATCCCACCCAGAGTGTGTCTCTTCTGCACAATTTTAAACTTTCAACACTGATATACATTTCTCTAATTCTAACGTTAAATCCCCAAGATTAATTCCCTTCCAATCAGAGAATCCAGCACATTGTGCTTGCTTTCTGGTCGTGCACAGCTGCTCAATGAAGGAATAACACAGCACCAGCGAGGCAGATTTTTCATGAGAAAGCGCCTGGTGTGTAAAATTAAAGAAAGCAGAAAGGAAAAGGACATTTAGGTCACAACCAGAAAGTTATCAGAGCACAGATGACAACTCATAGGCGTTTTTCTGGCACTCCCCTTAAAGCTTAGAAATAAGATCAGCTATGCATTTCAGGCTGTGTTCTGGAACAGTCGGGGGTATCTGGTGGGCAGATGTAGTAACAATAAAAATACAGTATGTTCTTCACACACCAGGAAAGCTCAAGAAGCTGGGCATCATCCACAGCTGACCTAATCCTGGTCTCACGGCACTTAAATCCAACAAGAAAATGGAAAATCCTTTTTTTTTTTTCGTCTTTTGAGACAGGATCCTGCGATGTGGTTCAGGCTACGTAGCCCAGGCTGGCCTCGAACTCGCAGTGATCCGCCTGCCTCAGCCTGAGTGCGGGGATTACGGGCGTGCGCCACCATGCTGGCTAAAATGGAACATTCTAAAGGCTAATTTGACAGTGCCTATCCTGCTGGCTGTACTCCTGTACTAAGCTTTCAGCTGCTTAAAACAAGAGAGAATTCCAATTTGCCTTACGCCACGAGAAGACATAAGAAATGAAATACAAAGAAGCAACTCCTTGAAAGGAACTTCTAATAAACTCCAAAGCATAAAATTGAGATCCACTTTAGCAATCAAATTCATTTCTCCTATCATATATTCAAATGTGGAATGCACCCTCTTCAAAGCCATAAACTGACATTCAAATATTTTCAGGAAATATTTTCATCTATCTTACCAAATATGAAATTTTGGTTGTCATTTTTATCTTACTGGCATAAAATTAGTTGACATCTACTGTTTTCTTATTAAGTTTTAATTTCCTCATCATTTTTTTTTTTTTAAGTCAGGTGTGGTGATCCATCCCCATAATCCCAGCACCAGGAAGGCTGAGGCAGGAGAATCACAGGAAGTTCAAGACCAGCCTGGGCTACACAGCCTGAACCACATAGGAAGATCATTTGAAAAATCAAAAAACAAAAACAAAATGTTTGTCTCCATTATTAACCATGAGCATGAAAGTGAAACTCAGAACTATCTAAAAACACAGTGAATACACTTGATCTTAGCCAGAAGGCCGGGAAGCGATCAGCACGGAGAGTAAAGCTACTAATCTGTCTCCCAGTTACAAAGGGCACGGCACAGTGCGTACTTCTGCACAGGCCCCGCAGGCCTGACTTCCCGCCACTCCTCGTCCGGGTTGGACGTGATGGACAGTGAGTAGCAGCCACTGCTCTGCTTCTGCAGGAAGGTATAAGTAGGTTTGGCCGCATCTGCACTGGAGGGCTGAAAGGGAACCACAAAGAACAGCATCCTTAAAATACATAACCACGATCATACTAACTTCTTCTCCTTTTTAAAATTTTTTAAATTGCTTTTTATTTTAAAAAAAAGGAAGGAAAACATTATAACTGCACTGTTTGTACTGTTGTTCTGCTATTTTGTAACTTTTTCCCTTTCACTAGGACTTCACTCATACTGCATCACAGTTAACACAGAGCATAAGTAATTTAAAGCGTACAACTGAGCTGAAATAAGAATTATTACATTCAGTTGCATTGCATTATGAGTACATTAGGATATATAATTATGGTTAAATTAAGTTTTTAAAGATTTCTCCAAATCTTAATATTTTAAAGTACTTGAATTTACTATTCAAATATAGAACATAATATTTCTGTGCAACAACATAATTATGTAAATTTTATTTCAAAACGATTTAAAGATAAATTTGAATATAATGGCACCAAAATTTCCTTTCAGGGATTAAAAATTTTATTTCTGCTTTCATTCATGGCTTGCAGGGTTGAGAGACAGCTGACAAAAATAATAATGTTCGTTTCTTTGTTTGTTTGTTGCTTGAGACAGGGTCTCACTGTATAGTTCAGGCTGGCCTCGAACTCACTGTGCAACCCAGGCTGGCCTTGAACTCACAGTGATCCTCCTGCCTCAGCCTCCTGAGTGCTAGTACTATAGGCATGCGCTACTATGCCTGGCTTCAAAAATAATAATCTAAATATAAAGCATGCTATAAAAATACAAACTTTTATAATATTAAAAAATATTAAAAATACAACCAAATTAAACAATATTTGTCATCAAATATATTGTATATTATAAAATGGTAAGTTTAATTTGAAACGGTACTTCCAGATATGAGATCTACATTTAAAGAAGAATTTGACAACTCTAATTCAAATAATCAAAATAGGTGGTAAATAACAGAATAAAACAAAATTTAGAGAGGCTTGGTTTGTGTCATAAATTCATATTCTAGTGTTAAATGGAAAAGACACAAATTTTTATATACAATATAATTAAGCAAAAATTACTTACATTATTTACAAAGAAAGAAAATGGTGAATGAAGTCTTACACCTGGTCCTACACTAATGTGGCCTTCTATGGGCCTTTTGGATAAAAGATGAGCCTTATACTATACCTGTACATGTATTTATGTCCACAAATAATCTATGTGTATGTCATAGCTACTTAATAAAAATGTTTCTTTCTAGAAATATTTGGCAGATATAAGCTATATGTATATTATCAATCTTCTATGAAAATAAACATGACTTTAAATTATTCCTTCAAAATAATTTAGATTTACAGAATGCTGCAAAAATGAAAACCTTCACCCGGATTATTCTAATATTAACATCACATATAACCACAGTGTAATTGTCAAAACTAAGAAATTAACACTGGTATGATAATATTAACTACACTACAGACTATATTATGACTTCACTAGTTTCCCACAAATATATTTTTTTGTATAGGATCTTACAATTCCTCAGTCTTTTCTTGTCTTTGAAAACCTTGATACACTTCAGAAGAGTACTGTTCAGTTATTTTACAACTGGGTTTGTCTCATTTTTCTTGATTGGACTGGGGTTACATCATCCCAAAGATGAGGTACCCTTCTCAGGGAATGTCGAGGGTGTGTCAGTATGGTGTCAACTTTGCTCATTTGGTTAAGGTGATGCATCAGGTTTCCCCATTGCCAGGTTATTTCTTTCCTTTTTTGTTTTTTGAGACAGGGTCTCTGCAGTTCCAGCTGGCCTTGAACTCACTATGCAGCCCAGGCTGGCCTTGAACTCACAATGATCCTCCTGCCTCTGTCTCCCAAGTGCTGGAATTATAGGTGTGCACCACCACGCCCCGTCCCTTTTTTATTATCAATAAATATTCTGGGCAAAGGACTTTGAGATTATGCATATATCATATTTCTCCTTAAATTTCCATCCATTAAATTTAGCATCCATCAGGAGACCTTGCCTGTGATAATCATAAGTATAAAAACTATATTTTGCTTTTTTGTTTTTTTGTTTTTTTTCCGGTACCGGGAACCGAACTCATGACCTTGCGCTTGCCAGGCAGGCGCTGTGCCGCTGAGCTAAATCCCCAGCCCCTATAAAAACTATGTATAGTTGTATTTCCCTTATTGCTTTTTTATTTATTAACTAGAGTCTTTGTAAGAAAAAATTGTAGCTATGTACCATTTATCATTCATTAACTATGTTACCTATTTCTATCAGTACAGATTCAAAGATAGTTATAATATTTTTAATTTTTTTCTATTTTAAAGAGAATTTTAAAAAGAACAGTAGCAAAATACCAACAACATAGACAAAAACAAAACAAGCAAAAACAATAAAAATGACACAGGGTTTCAGAACAAAATGAGAGGAATTAACAGTGGCTGTTATATTACATATTGTTATTTTCAATGAGGTGCTCAGATTACCAGATGTAAGAACGCAAGATTGATCAAACCATTACAGAGTATAAAAAATAAAAACAAAAAAACATTAGAAACAATAATTTCAAGACACAAGATCACAGGAATTCACCAACGGTTGTTATATTGCATATTAACTTCAAATTAGTTGTTCAGATTACCAGATATACGTATGCCAAATTGGTCAGAAAAAATTAAGCATTAACTGTTCCTTTCAATAAACCATTAGACATCAGCAATACAGTTATCCCAGCTATCCTTCTCTCTATATATACATATATTCCCTTCTTTCTTTCTTTTTCTGCTTCCCCTCATCCCAGTTGTTCCTTCCTTTGAGCAATTTCTTTCGCTTTCATCCTATCTATTGTATGCTTTAGGTTTTATTTATTCTTTCAGGTTCTTATCCTAGGGAGACAATATGATGCTTACACATGTGGGTTCAATTTGTTTCATTTATGAGTATGGTCTCTAGCTGCACCCATTTACCTATAAAAGCCTCAAGTTTATCTTTTTTATAGTTGAGTAATACTCCACTGTATAAAAATACCACATCTTTTTAAGGGATAATTATAATATTTGTATTACAAATTATATTGTATATAAAAATATTATAACTATCCTTGAATGCCACACTACCATTATTGATTTTGTTGAACAAAATTTCCAGCTCTGGCATGGAGAGTTCTTTCAGGCTGGTTCCCATGTCCTTTTGACAAAACACAACACTGTGAAATCAACCTAATACAAGTAAAAAAATGTATACCCTTTATTTTTACCCTTCTACCCCTGTCGATTATATTAGACATGTGCTAACCTGAGATACTGATTTCATCTTCATTTCTTCAGTAGCAGGAGGAAAAGAACAAGTTGAAGCACAGTAATAATGAATAAAAGAACTTTCTTTTGAAGAAAGGTTCTGAAACAAAGGGAATGCTTGAACCCAAGACAATGGGTAAGAAAGCTCTAGTTCTCCACTGGCCGTACTTATTTCCAACATAATATCTTTCAGTCTCAATTCATCCCTTTGTGAAATGGGACTGTTCAGCTCAAGGAAAATGAACTCACTGGATTTTGCTATAAAAGAAAAAAATAAATTTTTATCATTAGTACTGTTTTTCAAAAGGATTATAATTAATTTAATTATGAGTAACAGTAAGGTTGATATAAAACACAAAAAAGTATTTTGTATGTGAGGTAATAACCCAGGCAAATTAAAACCTCAGAACAAGCCAGGAACCCATAGCCCAACTCACAGTTTTTATATTCCTGATCTACTGCACTAGGCTAGAAAGTCCACAATGGTACTGACAACTGTATCTCCAATGCCTGGCACTCAGTAAGTGCTAGTAAGCATTTGTTAATGAATGTATAAGTGAATGAATGATATTAATACTTTTCTCTACCCTCCTCCAGTGATCAAATCTATCAAGTAAGAAGGTGTTACAGTTAAACATCATCTTCAACTTCTTCCATCAATCCTTTCAACAATAGTCTCAAAAGGCATTCTGTTCCGCCATGATTATAAATGTCTTCATACTCGCCCCCACTTCTTGCTAATTAATCATGAATTTTCCATTAAAAGTGATTAAGACTGGAAAATAAAGAGTTATAAACATACAAAACTTAGCTCACTAGCAAATATCTTTAATGTGCAAGAAAGGAGAGGATAAGGGCTGGCCGTGGTGGCGCACGCCTGTAATCCCAGCACTTGGGAGGCTGAGGCAGGAGGATCATTGCGAGTTCAAGACCAGCCTGGGCTACAAAGTGAGCTCAAGGACAGCCTGAACTGCATAGCAAGACCCTGCCTCAAAAAGACAAA